ACTTTAAAAGGTTAAGAACATATAATGTAAAAACTAATAGGAAGGGGAAAAACAAACGAGCAGAAAGAGGTAATTTCAATAGATTAGAGTTTTAGAGACAACTCAGACAAGTTGTATCTGTGTTAGGCCACAAGGAGAAATTTTGACAAATTCCAAAAAGCACAAAACTTAGGCTGTACTCAGAGCCCACAATAAACTAACAAGCAATAACAGAAAGTTTACAATTTTAAAAATCCGCACTTTCAGAATCCTGCATTAGTTCTCTTTAGACAGTAACTGAGTTGAAGAAATATAAACTACATTTCCAAGCTTTTTAGAAAACCACAGGAAGGAATAAAACCTATGGGATGCGGCCTGAACTACTGGCAGGGGAAAAATCCATAGCCGTAAAAGTTATCATTATTAATCAAGAAAGAAGAGTGATAAATCATAGACTATTCTAGAAGTTTGGGCAAAGCCACCAAAAATTCTAAAATTCCTGGAGAAAAACTGTACTTTCTCCGTGTTCGCACAATGGTCAGACAACAGTGTGACCATACTGAATGGAAGAAGCCAGCAAGAGAATTCTTCCCTCGTGGTACTTACAGGTGTGTGTGTGTGTGTGTGTGTGTGTGTGTGCAGAGAGGGAGGGAGGTAGAGGAAGTGAGGGAGGGGTGTATGGAGATACTAAATTATAAATGCAAAAACAATGTTATAAAGAAGTACAAATATTTAGTATCTCTAACGTATCAATTAGCAGTTTCTTCTGTTCTGTTTCCCTGGTTGTTTTTCTGGATGTCTCTCCTGTATTTTTCTGTTTTTCTTCTCCTTTCTGCCTCTGGTTCCCAACTCCCTGTAGACAGTTGGGATTGTTTTTGCCTTCTCTGGAGTCTAGTACTCTGGCACCCAGTGGTGGCTACTGAATGAAGGAATCCAGGAATCTTAAAGACTCCCATGAGCTATTCTGAAGCAGACCCTATACCAGAAAACCTGTAGATTGCCATTTGCTTGCTATTTATAAAAACAGAGACTCTAGAAGAGAAACTGTATTTACAAAATACAAGGATAGCCACAGATTACAGCTTAGCAGCCAGCAGGCCACTTCAGTAGTAGTAGGTTAAGTGGGAGACTAAGAAAGGTGTTCTGAGCAAGGGGAAACCACACTACCTCACCTTGCTGTGCTCAAGTGAGATATTTAATGGGGGCCCAAGGGGAAGTCAGTAGATGCGGTTCACTTTGGTTTTTCGCAGACTTTTGATAAGGAGTCACATCCAAGGCCTTGGGGTGGGAGCATGATGGGAATGTCCTGTAAAAGCCCTGGTGGTGTGAGAGAAAAGAGTCATCAGAAAGAGGCAGAAGTCACAGGTAAGGACCAAGTCTGGGAGGCATCGTAGGCCGAGGTGCTGTGCTGCCTAAGGAAGGTTGGCGGAGGCCACCTGGCTGCTCGAGGCAGACGGGCTGTGAAAGAGGAAGGGGGAAGCCTCCAGACCAAGCTGAAAGCTGGTACTGCACGCAGAGGTGGCTTGGACTGCTGTAGTCCCTACGGAAGTGATGCCAAGTGTTTAATCCAGGAAAAGTGTTGAAGAGAGAGGGAACAGAAGCTTACTGACATTGGCTGTGTGGCGTGAGAAGGACTTGAGTAGGACTGAAGGTTTTCTTGCCTGGGCACTGTGGATCCCATTCATGTGGCCTCCCTGAGCATGTGGGGGTAAAGACTACTTCCTGGAGGCTGTTTTGTTGTTGTCATTTTGTTTGTTTGTTTTTAAGATTTTATTTATTTGAAAGATGGAGTTACTGACTGAGAGAGGGAGAAACAGAAAGGTCTTCCATTCGCTGCTTCATTCCCTAAATGGCCCAATGGCCGCAGCTGAGTTGATCTACAGCCAGGAGCCAGGAGCTTCTTCCAAGTCTCCCATACCGGTGCAGGGGCCCAAGCACTTGGGCCATCTTCTGCTGCTTTCCCAGGCCATAAGCAGAGAGCTGGATCGGAAGAACAGTAGCCAGGACACGAACCAGGGCCAATGTGGGATGGCGGCTGCAGGTGGAGGCTTAGCCTACTGTAGCCCAGCGCCAGCCCCTGGAGGCTGTGTTTGAGAGGCAGGGAGATTAGCTAGGAGGCTGCTGCAGTCATCCTGGAAAGAGAAACAGGGCCTTACGGGTAGACACTCAGAGGGCATAGACTAGAGAGCTATTTATAAGGCTAAAAATTGCATTATAGGAGAATAGATGAGGGTGGTTTACTAAAATTGAAGATAGCTGACTCTTTTCCCCCAGTACCTCCAATTACCGGTATATGAAGGTACTTCAGAAAGGGATTAAAAGTTCAATTTATTTTGTTGCAAAAAAAGTTGAAATCCATGTGTATAAAGGGGCTTTCAAAAAGCTCATGGAAAAAAGATATTATGAAAAACCTACGGATGGATTTCAATATTTTCTTGCACTGAAATAAATGTCTTTTAATTCCCTTTTCCATTTTGAAGTCTTCTTGGGCACCAACATCAGGGGCTGCCTTATGCCCCCTTTTATATAGCTCCAGAGCTAAGAGTGTTTCCTACATTTCTTGTAAAAGTTTTAAGTGACATAAAAATAAAAGATGCACATATTGTAGGGAGCTCCATGTAAGTTTTCTATAATGTCCAATCAATAAGGGTATCTATCTTCTCATTTATCATTTCAGTATGGTGAAGCAAAGTCCTTTCTTCTAGTTTTTTCTTGTTGCATTTTAACGTTAGGGAAACATTCAGTACATCATCATTATCTATAGTCATCCGACTGTGCAGTTGGACACCAGAAGCTACAGTAGTGTCACATGGGAACTCTTGGGAAATGCAGATCCTCAGGCCCAACACAGACCTGCTGGATCAGAAACCCTGAGGGTGGAGTCCAGGAATCTGTTTTAACAAGCCCACCAGGTGATTCTGATGTGAGGCCCGAGAAGCACTGCTCTAGAGAAACTTTTGCATCTGTGCACAGTGAAGATGATTCTCAGCAGCACTGGACATAAGGGCCCCAAACTGGAAGCAATCAGAATGTCAGTCGACAGTAGAGAAGCTAAGTAAATTGTGGCAGTTAATACAGTGGGAGTATCTGCAACTCCACAGATGCGGAGGCAGACTGAATCCCAGCTCCAGGTAAATATTGGCTCTCTCAGCCTCAGTTTCCTCATCTGTAAAATGGGCATAAAATAGTAACTAATACATAGGGTTTAGTATGAGGCTCGTCACCATATAGAGTACATTAGAAGAGTGCCCTGCTCCTGGCTTATGCCTAGCCCAGCCCGAGTCATTAGGGAGTGAACCAGTGGACCAGTCTTTTTTTTTTTTTTTTTTTTTGTCTTTTTTTTTTTTTTGACAGGCAGAGTGGACAGTGAGAGAGAGAGACAGAGAGAAAGGTCTTCCTTTTGCCGTTGGTTCACCCTCCAATGGCCGCCGCGGCCGGCGCGCTGCGGCCGGCGCGCTGCGGCCGGCGCACCGCGCTGATCCGATGGCAGGAGCCAGGAGCCAGGTGCTTTTCCTGGTCTCCCATGGGGTGCAGGGCCCAAGCACCTGGGCCATCCTCCACTGCACTCCCGGGCCACAGCAGAGGGCTGGCCTGGAAGAGGGGCAACCGGGACAGAATCCGGCGCCCCGACCGGGACTAGAACCCGGTGTGCCGGCGCCGCTAGGCGGAGGATTAGCCTAGTGAGCCGCGGCGCCGGCCTGGTCTTTCCCTCTCTCTCTAACTCTGCCTTTCGATTAAATAGAGCGCCAGAAAAGTCTTACGGAATAATCTGCATGTAATGTATAATGATGGTTTAAGGTTTTTTTTTTTTTTGTGTATTGTGCATTATGCATTTAACAAGCACACATTCTGTGTAGTATGCTTTTAACAAATTAAGGGGTCTAAGGTAAATACAATGTAGACTTTGGAGGCCCAAATGTTGGCATTACCTCTTGAACCTATTTTCACATTTGTAAAATACATTAAAACCTGCCGGGACAGGCCTGTGTGGAAAACTAATGAAGTGCATTGGCCTGCATCATGGTTAAGACTTCAGCAGCAGTGTGTTTCCTCTTTCTTAATTGCTCTTCCGTTTCTTTCCCCATTTTCTTCAAACCTTCATTTCCAAATTTCAAATCCCAAAATTCCTCTGCTATCTTGATATTCTCCGGGGGGGGGGACAAAACTAAAACGAAGCACTGCCAGACCTAAGTGCCTTTCTTGACGTCAAGATGTGGTCTTTCCCTTGAATGAATCAAGGCCACACGGCAGGGTCTTCCGCAGGTATGCCCCGGGGGGCCAAGCCTGGCCGCGGTTGTAGGACTGGACCTCACTCCTGTATTTCCCGGGATTTCATGCTTCGCGGCCTTAGCAGGTGAAGTGCTTTGTATGCACGTGGCAATGCTTAAATACATAAAAAGCACACAAAGAACGGCCTTTCCCCTCTGTAGAACCCACACCCCATTTTCCTATGCCCCGGGGCCTAGCACCAAGTACACCCGTTGCTACATTTGGCTTTGAACCCTTGGGACGTGTGTGACCTCGGTGGGACCTCAAAGCACTCCGTCCATTTGCTCGGATGGACTAAGACGCAACATAGGTGGGCTGAGTGGGCCAACGACCCCAGAGGTGGGCTGCGTTTTACGGCCCTGAGAGCAAGCACCCAGCAGACACCCATTCCCTCCTCCTCAACCTCAGCCATCTCAAGGGGACAGAAGCAGCAGCGCACAGGACACAGCACTGCGGCGAGACCGGCTCTGGCAGGCGCGACGTGGAACGAGGGCGGCGAGGCTCAGGCCGCGGGGCAGCCGAGCGGCAGCCTCCTTGTGACGTCAAATCGGCGGACTCTCGGCCCGGCTTCAGGCCGGTTCCGGTTCCCCGACTTTCCGGGCGCGGAGAGTGCGCGAGCGCGGCGGCCGACTGCGCGTGCTCCGCAGAGGGGACGCGAGAAGGTTGGGGCCGGCTCGCGAAGGAGATGCCTGATTGGCTGACGCCGTGCTGGGGGGTTCCCTGGCCCTTTCGGCAGGGGTAAAACAATAAGAGGGGGCGGCGGCAAAGGGGGCGGGACGTCCGTGTTCCTTGTCGCAGCGCCTGGCGCCCGGGAAGAGGTGCTTGTGAGGGAAAGGAGCTCGCGGCTCTCCGGCTTCCGACGCTTCAGGTCTGTCGGAGGGAGGGGGCGGCCAGCGAGAAGAATCCGCCGCAGCCGGGCCTGGGCGACTCGCCTGCTGACCTCCGCGCGACGTAGCTAGCCGCCGCCGCTGTTGGTTAGAGGTGTGTACGGGGGCCGGGAGGGGCGGTCGCCGTGGTGGTCGGAAGGGGACCTGGCCTTGGCTCCGCGGCCCGAGCACCGGTCCTGTGCGTGAGCGCCGGTGTGGAGGTGCGGTGGCAGCGAGACATTGTTCTTGCCGGCTGCCCACGCTGCCGTGTGTGTGTGTGTGAGAGAGAGAGAGAGGGAGAAGAGCCGCGCTTTGCCCTCCCAGGTGAGGGATGCGAGGCCGCGTGGGCAGGGAGGTGACCGGTGCGCGCGGGGCGGCCAGGGGGCTGCGAGGGCACACAGGTGGGGCTGAGGCTGGCAGGGGAGGAGGTGGCGAGGTGGGTAGGGGGGCCACTGCGGCGCCCGGGGCTCGCTGATGGGCGCCGCGTGCCGGGAGTGGGGCAGTGGGCTTCCCGGGTGGGAGCGCACCAGCCGCGGCCGCGGCTCGGTTGCGGTTCTCGTTCCCCGTTGCTTCGGAGCGGGGACGCGGTCGCCGCCCCGCCCGTGGGGGAGGGGAAAGGAGGCTGTGTCGGCGGAGGCAGAAGCGACGCAGACGCGAAAGTAGCGGCCTCTGGGCACCATTTCTGTGCGCGGAAACAGAATCCGGGTTTGAAGGCGGCCGCCGCTCGGCTTGCCCAGCGCCTGAGGTTCCGGCGCCTTCGGCCCCCTCCCCCCTCGGGCTTATCCCGAACGCGTTCAGATACCGGGCTTGTAACGTGCGCTTCCTCGGCCCTCTTCATGCACAAGATCGCTTATTGACCCAGGAATAGAAAAAACGCTGCAGTGCTTTGGGGAATGGGTTTCTCTCTCCACTTATTTTGGGGAGTGGGTGGGAGGAGGTTAGCGGGGGAAGCATAGGCTTCCCTAGGTTGTGTTGATTTTATTTAGTCGAATCTAGTTGAATTTCTCCTGTGTCTCTAAAAGCCGGTTTCACAGAGCCCCATGCAGCGAGTATAGATTTGCGTCTAAAATTTTCCGCATAGGTCATCCCCCGCCCCCCAAGGTATGCCTAATGTTTTAACGGACTTTGGGAGGATATGCCTTTGCTCTTAAAAATCAAAAACAAAAGCGATGCATCGAGGCTGGAATAGTAGAAGTTGAGCTATGCTTTCTTCCCTGTATGTTGTGAAATCAACTTAGGCTAAGATACTGATTTTAGGTTCAAGGCATCATCCCTCTTAGTAGGTCTTCCCAACGTTAGCGTTGCAAGTACCTGGAACTAGGAAACGTTAACTGCGGTTAAGGGATCCCCGAGCTAGAGTGGAAGATGATGGCAGTTCCTTGTCCAACTCCATATTTGGCAGTTAGTATAGCCTTAGGCATGTGAACAAAGTTTTTAAGTAAACATTTGGCCCTGCTAGGATCCAGTGGTCTTTTAGAAATCCAAGATTCACGATCTTAAAAAATAGAAGATAGCAGTTTGAACGTCTTAGGACTGAATTATGTGTTGTTTTCTTTGGTGATATTACCTTACCTTTTTCTTACATTTTTGGGATACTCATTTGTGTCTTGATATTATGATTTAATCTTTACAAGCTGTTTAATTCTGAAAAATGACCAAGGAATCGTGGGGAAGATACAGATCTCACATGAATTGCTTTACTGCTTGAGAGCGGTCATGGTTCAGGTAGTTGAATCTTCAGGGTTATTGTGTTATTGATGGTAAACAAGCATCAACCTTGGAGTGAGCCAGAGAATGCTTGGAGTGGATGGGTATCAGAAATAGGAGGCTAAAAAGAAAACAAGCCGAGTGATTAGTTGATAGTCAGTTAGACTAACTTAACTGGGTGTTCTGTTAGCTGAGCAGTTTAATTGTCAGCAGGCAAATTCTGGTTTAAAGAAAGTGTGGGAAACATTTGCGCTTACAAGAGCTCAAAAATCAATTTTAGTATCAGTTACTGGAAATTTATAAATATTGATAATATCTTTAGATTCTTAACTGCTTCCTTGTCCTGCAGAATTATTGCTGTTACCCATCATCAGGATTGAAAATTCTTTCCTAGGTTGCTCTATTTTTTAAAATTTATTTAATTTATTTTTTAAAAAAGATTTATTTATTTATTTGAAAAGCAGCGTTACAGGGAGGCAGAGAGAGAAGGGTGTTCTATCCCCTGGTTCTTCCTAGATGTCTGCAACTGCCGGATCTGTGCCTATCTGAAGCCAGGAGCATCTACCAGGTCTCAGTGCGGGTGCAGGGGCCCACGGACCTGGGCATCTTCTACTGCCTTCCCGGGCCACAGCAGAGAGCGGGGTCAGAAGTGGAACACTCATGCCCATACGGGATGCCAGCACTGCAGACCCAGCTTTAACCTGCTGCGCTGCAGTGCTGGCCCTCTAGGTAGCTTTAAAAAGACTTCCCCCACACATTTATGTTGAGTGGGTATGAAGACCGTGGATGACCACTTTTTAATGCATATTTTGAAAGGCACAGAGTTAAGGATTGCTTCTGACCTTAAATTTAGTCTTTTTTTTTTAACTGCTGTGTCTCAGAGCTTACTTTTTGTCTTCCAATTTCTAGGTATTTTGCCCTGTTTTGGATCCATTCTTGTTGAGAATGACATTCTGGTTTCCTTTTTTGTTACATTCCTTTGGTTTTTACTTTTCCCAGTAGTTTCACATTAGATAACAATTGGATTTTTAAATTTTTTGGTATTCTTGATTCTTCATCCTTCAGAAGAGTTCTTCACCAGGGGTAAAGGAAACATAATTAGGCAGCAGAGCTGATTTCAAATTCTCTTTCTTACAACTCTAAGGACTTTGAACTTCTTTCCTTGGGCTCTCTTAACATCACTTTTCTTTTGCTGTAGGTGAAGAAGTTCAAGGAGACGAACATACAGGTTACTTGTTAAACTTTAAAGCGTATTGTAAAGGTGTGCTTTTATTTTTGTGCAGCAGCATTGTCCTTTGTTAATGCTTGGCCACCTTTCATAGCTTCTGGACTTCAGAACTTGTTTTACCATTGGGGCCTGAGGAGAGGCTTATTAATCCATGACTTGGATTTGTTACTTATTTCTATCACTGTGGTTCTTAAATCTTATTTGTGAAGCTTTTGTTCTATGGTTTGCCACAGCAAGTTTAAGGTCACTGCTCTGAAAAGATACACTGCTGTTTTGATTATTAAAGTCACTTTAAACAAAGACCATCTGGAATATTGATAAGTTCCAGTATTAATATGTAATATGTGGTTAGTGATTGAAATGCAAATAGTCCTTAGCTCAGTGAGAATGGGCCTGGCTGGTGTGAGCCAGCCCCCACTGAGTGAGGGTCTCCGAGAGGGGATATGGAGTTAAGAGTATCCTGTGGTAGAGGTAAGCCCTGGCCTAGCACAGCATTGTTTCTGGTAAAGAAAACTTGTTGCTAGAAATAATCTTTTCATAAGAAGATAACAGCACATATAACTTTTCAGGGCTGAAATGTTTTCTAGCTTTTTTTTTTTTTTTTTTTTTTTTTTTTTTTTTTGACAGGCAGAGTGGACAGTGAGAGAGAGAGACAGAGAGAAAGGTCTTCCTTTGCCGTTGGTTCACCCTCCAATGGCCGGCGCGCTGCGGCCGGCGCACCGCGCTGATCCGATGGCAGGAGCCAGGAGCCAGGTGCTTTTCCTGGTCTCCCATGGGGTGCAGGGCCCAAGCACCTGGGCCATCCTCCACTGCCTTCCCTGGCCACAGCAGAGAGCTGGCCTGGAAGAGGGGCAACGGGGACAGAATCCAGTGTCCCGACCGGGACTAGAGCCCAGTGTGCCGGCGCCGCAAGGCAGAGGATTAGCCTAGTGAGCCCTCTAGCATTTTTTTTAAGTGTCATTTTGATTGACTTCGACTTTTTTGTGTGTGTGTGAAAGGCAGCGTTACAGAGGGAGAGAGATCTTCCACCCGCTAATGCACTGGTTCACTCCCCGGATGGCCACTTAGCCAGGCCTGAGCCTCACACTTCATCTGGGTCTTCCATGTGGTTGGCAAGTGCCCAGTGACTTGGGCCATCTTCTGCTGCTTTCCCAGGTGCATTAATTACCTGGGAGCTGGATAGAAAGTGAGCAGTTGGGATGAGAACTATGACCCATATGGGATGCTGGTGTTGCAGGCAGCAGCTTAACCCCACTGTGCCACAACACCAGCCCCAATTTTTTTTTTTTTATTTATATATTTGAAAGGCAGAGTCAGAGGCAGAGCCAGAGAGGTCTTTCATCCGATGGTTCACTTCTCAAATGGCTGCAGCAGCCAGAGCTGGGCTGATCCAGAGCCAGGATCCGGGAGCTTCTTCCTGGTCCCCCATGAAGGCATAGGGGCCCAAGGACTTGGGCCATCATCTACTGCCTTCCCAGGTCATAGCAGAAAGCTGGATCAGAAGTCAAGCAGCTGGAACTTGAACCAGAGCCCATATGGGATGCCTACACTGCAGGCCTTGCCTTTACCTGTACACCACTGCGCCTTTCCCTGGCCCCAATTTTTTAACCCCCCCCCCCCGGTTTTGTTTTGTTTTGTTTTGTTTTGTTTTGACAGGCAGAGTTAGAGACAGACAGACAGACAGAGAGAAAGGTCTTCCTTCCGTTGGTTCACCACCCAAATGGCTGCCATGGCCAGCCAATCTGAAGCCAGGAGCCAGGTCTGGTCTTCCTTATGGTCTCCATGCAGGTGCAGGGCCCAAGCACTTGGGCCATCCTCCACTGCCTTCCTGGGCCACAGCTGAGAGCTGGACTGGAAGAGGAGCAACCAGGACTTGAACCCGGGGTGCCGGCGCCACAGGTGGAGGATTAGCCTAGTGAGCCGCGGCGCCAGCCTCTTTTTTTTTTTTTTTTTTGACAGAGTGGACAGTGAGAGAGACAGAGAGAAAGGTCTTCCTTTTGCTGTTGGTTCACCCTCCAATGGCCGCCGTGGCCGGCACGCTGCGGCCAGCGCACTGCGCTGATCCGAAGGCAGGAGCCAGGTGCTTTTCCTGGTCTCCCATGGGGTGCAGGGCCCAAGCACTTGGGCCATCCTCCACTGCACTCCCTGGCCACAGCAGAGAGCTGGCCTGGAAGAGGGGC